GATTCTATTTCTATTCTAACAATCAGAAAAGAAAACGTAACGCCTTCGGCAGATGTTTTCTTTTTTTTTTCCTCTTCGCTATTATCGTTAGTACTTAAACTACTCTTCTTACAATATCTAGCAATCAATTATAGAAAGAGTGAAAACTAAACTATTTACTTCATTCGTTGTTTGATTCATCTGCGTTTGAATAGATGTTAATTCATTGCGCATACTTTCGTCGTTCATTTTGATAACAAATATGGAGTGCTCTGTCGATGACTTTTGAATTATAGTTTGATATAATCTGAAGAAAAAAAGGGAAACAACGACATCATCCAGCTCGTATGAATTCTTTTCTTTAACGTTATAAGATATAAATGTGAAGAATAATATATTTGGCGACAATAATAACTACTATGGTAGAATATATTTATATTAATATGATCCCATGATGACACTGATAGATCAGTGTTTGTTTTTATGTTTGTTGATTAATCAGCTCTTCCTTGCTATTGGTCTTTATTCATAACAAATCTTCATGTATCATTTTGCCTCTACGCATTTTGACATGCATTGAATTGATAATACTATTGGAAGAATCGTTGCGTTGAGTAACTAACATTATAATTGCTTGTATTATAAATAGGAAGAAAGGGGACGCTACTTGATAATAATCATATCATTATAGTTATAGGATTTTCATGCTCTCCATCTTGTTTAATTGTACTTCTTAATATCAAACTTGTCCAAGCTAATAAAACAATTATTATATTAATTAAAATAATATCTACATTTTTGTTGTAAGATAAATTTTTATCATATTAATTTTTTTAAAATTCTATGAAATGATTATTAAATATGTCATTTTCATTATGAAATAACTGCAAAAATAGTTCGATGAAACTTAATTGTAGAATATTAATTCTAAAAATCTTTAACGATTAGAAAATTGCTTTAACAGCTGCTTGATAGACTCAATAATAATTTTTATGCATGCATAAATTTCTTCGATGGCTTGTCGTTGTTAATTGGAAGATATTACATATGACACGATGCATTTGTAATATTCATTGTTGCTTATTGTTTATCCTGCGTGACGTGTCTTAATGAGATATTTATTCGATAGAGAATAAATCTTTTTTAGTCGTGTCTTCTTGAATATTCTTCGTTAATTTATGCAACGATGCAGATTTTTCCACAATCAAAAACATTGATGAACTTTTTGAACAAAGAAATCAATTTTAATTAAAATGATGCGTTTCTTTTATTACAACTTTCATTTCGAATAGCGATGTAAACAGAAAAAATAACTATATACTATAAAAAAATTGCCGGAAATGAGAATAGAAATTGCAATATTTTATCGAAGTTCTAAATTTCTTACTGTAGGACTTTTTCTAACGGAAATATTGAATATCAATCTTTTGCAATTCTTAGTAAAAAATAATTCAAAGTATAGCACAAAACAGTCTTTTTTTAAACTTTCGACTATTTTTTTTGTCTGTTAACAAGATTCATTATTTTCTATTTTTATGTTTTTGAACATTTGTTCATTTTTTAATGATCAGATTTTAGAGTGTATAAAAAGAAGGTTAGTCGAACACTGCCAATCTTTCTCTCTCAGTATATCGATCATATCTATGACAAAAACATATATAAATATATAATTGAATGAAATATCTAACTTTGTAGAAGAAGACCAGAGCTATTATCTTAAAAGAAATATATTTCGAAATACATAAATGTAGTAAAATGATTTGGTCATTTTACTAATTTTAAGTAAATATTTTCATCTAACATTTGAGAAAAATAAAAAGAATTTGTTCAGAATAGTTGTATATTGCAACAATTAACGTCTTATCAGAACAAAAAAAAAGAATTCCAATAAATATATGAACAACCTTTCGAATAACTAATAGTATGTGGTATTATATTACTTTTGGAAAATTTATTGAAATTTTCGTTCTGACAATACGATTGTTGTCATATTTGCAGATTGTGATTGCAGCAGTTTTAGAAACATTTAATATTGACAGTCGTATTTTATGAAGTTTACTGTTTCCAAGTTATTCTATAATTTGCTAACTAATTGGATGTATCTATTCAACAGTTTTACTAAGAAGCACTTACTATTCATTTCAATATCTAATAGATGATATATAACTAATAAAAAACTTATGAGGTATCATTCGACAAGATAGATGTCAAATAAAAATTTATTGATATATGGAAAAATGTTATTGTTGAAAAATCTGATAAAATGTTTAGCAGTATTATAACAAGGTCGAAAACAATGTCAATGCACAATAAAATTTGATTATTGATATTTATACAAAATTTCTATCGGATCAACATGTGAATCATTTAGATATTTTATTGGAAAAAATTTTTAAAAAGTTTTCTCAAAATGTGCAAGATGAAAATATTCACTTAAGTTTAGTAAAATAGTCATAACATTATATTACATTTATGCATTTCGAAGTGCATTTTTTTCCAAAGGCACTATATATAATGGAAACAATTTGAAAAAATAAATCTTTCGTCATTTTTCGAAAGTATGTTCAAACGTGGTGAAGTTTTGGATTTAGAGGTTTCTCGAGATAGACTTTCATCTAAAGTGCATAAATTGAGCATTCGAGAACCAATTCTTTATTGCGATAGTTAGAATTGTGCGGCAAATTGGAACTTCTGAACCTTATTTAAAAAAACTTTTCTGACCAAAATTCACTTCCATAAACTTTTGAAAACACCATCCAACGCAGTTCGATGTGCTCTTTCATACTAGACTACTCTCAAGCTGGTCAATTGCACTAATTCGACTAGTTTGCCTTATCTACAGAGACATATCTTCTAAAACTAGCATATGTTATCATTTAACAAATACTAGATGATAAAGTACTCGTAATACCATGAAAAGATAGCGTGTCATCGACACTATCTACGGTAAAAAAGTCTGTTATAACTCTTGACGTTCTTTGAAAAATGGACATTTATGGAAAATTGCAATACTAAATCAGCAGTGTCACATATCCTACAATTTGGAGAAGTGCTCACATCTCTGTCGGGAGATGCTGCATTTTCAGCAGGAGATGCAGCATCCAATGTGAGGGATGCACATCTCTCAATGAGATGATACATCTCCAACAGCAAATCACCGCATCTCCCCAGTGTGGGTGCCGCGTCTCCCGTGGGAGATGCCGCATCTCCTGTGGGAGAAGTGAGCACTTCTCCAAAATCTTGGATATGTGACACCACTCGTTTTTAACTATAATATTCGATAGGAAACTGAAAATGACGCACGGTAGGCGATTTTCAGATTGCTAAAAGACTGTCGACAAGCAGGAGAATCAGAGTAGGATTCTTTAGCCTTTCTTTAGCAACATATTAGTCATATTTCGAGTCAAACATTCTGAAAATGTGACTAGTGAATAATATCGGCAATGAATTTTTTCAAAATTTACTTTGATACAGAAACTATACAACAATCTAGAACACTGAAGAAGCCATTCAGTGATTCTCGATCTAACAGTAGTTAAGGTTTGTATAAAAGATAAATGAAGCAAAAATAGTGTTCTCAAGGCTTATAGAAAAGTTTTAAGGAAAATTTTTTCTCAGTCCTGGAAAACATACTTCGTTTTAGACATGCCATATTTGCATTTGAGATTAGCATATTTTATTTTATTAATAGTCATGAATACAACTGAAATCGACAATGAAAAATTTTCGAAAGATTTAATGTTAAGCCATGAACATCGCAAAAATAATTCTCGATTGTTACGAAACCTGATTAAAATTGTAAAGATCTCCGAAAGATCATGAATTTGATTTAAGCGTAAACAAGCATCCTTCAATCAACTGTGCCACATTTTGTGAGACAGAAAGATTCAAGTTCCACGCTCTAAGATTTCAATATTCTTCAACAACTGTATATCATAAAAATGTAACTAGGTTCATGGAGACGTAGTTAGAAATAACAGACGCATATCCCCACATGATATTTTGTGTCGTGTTCAACCAAGGTTTTTCCTTGAACAATAACCAATGAATCCAGTGTGAGTTAGAAGTGCTAGGATATATGAATGTTTGACTGAAATAGAATCAATTTCGACGGAATTCTTATAAATAATTCTGTTTGGAACACTGTGATTGCAAGTTCGATCAATTGAATAAGAATGAACTTAAGCTTGAAACACTATGGGCAACTTGCTTCGATTTAGTTTTGGTCTCCAAAAGATCTTTGGATCTCAACAGTCCATCACTTTTTCTATTTTCACAAAAGATTTTCTAGAAATTTATGAAGATATGATCTTTTGAATACTTAGACTAAGGCTCAGAAAATTGCCAACAGTATTTTGACAGAGCTTCATTTACATTCGATCGATTAATCTCAAGTTGTTACCTTCGTTCTTCATTTTTCAAGCAGTGTCTCTGATAAAAGTTTTGTCGAACATAGTTCTACTTCAGTCAAACGTTTAGACAATCCAAAACTTCAGACTAGCATTGTGAATTCTTTCAGTACTATTTCAAAAACATAGTAATGGTGAAATATGTTCTTTGTCAAGTACAATCTCTTTTATAGATGTACACTATTTCTTTGAATAATAAAGCAATATCATTCGCACACATATTCTTTGTCGTTTTTATTCACCATTCATATTCAATTTTACCAGAGCGAAGTCACCTTCATCAGTCTTGTATTCTGATATTGCTTTTTTTTTGGTTGAGTACATTTGCAAGCGTCATGACGTTCATCGGTGTTCGGATAGTTTGTTTCACTTTGCCAACAGAATCAAGTGCGTTTCCTTCTATTATGTTGAGCAGAAAGTTCGCGGTCACTTGCAAAAAAGATCTAATCGGATAAGATGATCTATCCAGCATTGAGAAAGCAAATATACCAAATTGTAGAAAATTTCAAGGCGCATCGAATGGTATATAATAAGTCTATTCTCTAAAACGTTTAGGAAGAGTTATGATTAATTTACTGATGAAGGGAGAAGGCCCGAAATGGTGATAAATACCTAATCAGTNATCACATCTTGATCACAATTGCTTCGATCGATTTGTAATGCGTCACAAATCGGTTCAATTTGTGTGTACACACCTTTTACCTTAGGTATTGTTTTGACCCATTTCTCATGAGTCGATTGACTGTCACATAAAACATAAATGGAAGTTAATTGTGGGCATTCTTGAATTTCTGGTATTAAATGTTGTGCTAGCGTACCCGACACAATCATTGATACTTTTTCGTCGTGAATGTCAGTGAGAAAGCCCATATATTCGTCAACGTCTGTAAATGTGGTGACTATTGCTAGCATATCACGTAGATGTTGTCTTGGTTTTTTATAATCGTCTTTGGATTCATCGAAATCGACATCAAGCCAGACCAAAATAAAAGTTTGAAAGACTTGACGAATTGATTGTGGTAGTGTAGCATTTCTGTTCACCATTGTCGTTGCTTCTGCTGCTGTTGATAACTTATTTGGCTTACTTATCATATCTTGTGAGCCGGTAGCATTTGGTTTAAAATTTTTCTTGTCCATTTTAATTATAATGACTATGATAATGATAGCCTTTTGATTTTTTTTCTATTACCGTAAATGAACTAAGATGCGGACACTTGTTGAACACTGTAAAAATCAACAAAAAAAAATATTTCGTCTCTATCTCTAAATATAATTCAGTTTTTCCTTCCTTTTTGTGTTGACACTTTCGTTTTGAATGTGGGTGTGGATGAAGAGAACACCCACACACCCACATCCACTCTCATCCCGCACCCACATCCACTCTCATCCCGCACCCACACCCCACACCCACACCCGCATCAACACCCACACCCACATCCACACCCACACCCACACCCACACCTACACCACCCCAAAATGCTACTATGACAACGTATGTCTGATAGAAAGACTTAGTTTTTTTCTTCATATGTTTGTGGAAAACAGCACTTAAGTCTTCGCATGTACAAGAATCTTTTACTTGTTCAAGTTTGTGTTTCCTATCATGAATAAAAGACATTATTCTTTCAACACTAATCAATATCGATCAATGGACGAACGGTAAGAATGTTCGTTTGTCAAGACAATATGCCACGTTCGAATCCGTATGTAAGTATTATTTTCATATATTACATGCCTGTGCAGTCTACAGAATTAGTATTTCATCCATATAAATGGCAGCACATCGTATACATGATATCATTCATTTTTAAATATTATTTTTTGCTGAATATACGTGAACCTGCAAAACTTATGCTAGCAGAAACTCGCGTGTAATAATTCCAAAGTTTTGCGTGCACACGCGAAAAAAGTTCACTATGTGACGCGTTCACACGTATGCAAGGTTATAAAAACAAATGCATGGACACGGGCCCACTATCGCGCATTTACATGCATGCCTTTTAAAATTATGTTTGACTGGATCAAGCTATCATCTACTAGTAAATTCTAGAGAAATAACTCATATGAGTATTTTCACCATGGAGAGTGTCCATTTATTCGTGCATGGTCACTTTGTGAAAAGTAATAAAAGGTCTCTAAACAAGTTTTCAAAAGCATTCCAAAGAATGTCTTTGTTTAAAAAAGTAATAATCATTTAAGATTTAATTTTGAGAACTGTTTGAAGTTACAATTCCATAGTAGGCCCCTTGCCGTTGCATCAAATCATCGTGATGACCGCTTTCTATCAAATGTCCTGCGTGAAGTACACATATAGGATCGCATGAACGAATCGTTGAGATACGATGGACAATTGTGAGCGTTGTCCTATTTGCATCTTTTATTCGTGCTTCTTCGAGAACTTTTTGTACGATCTAGAGAAAATTAAAATGTTTTTAATTAAAAGATAAAGTACAAAAACGTACTTGTTCATTGTATACGTCTATGGCATTAGTTGCTTCGTCTAAGAGCAATATCTTTGGTTGTCGAAGAAAAGCTCGAGCAATGGCAATACGTTGCTTTTCGCCACCTGACAATAAATTTCCTTTCATGCCCACTTTTGTTTCGTAGCCCTGATATAACAGAAAAAACATAAACGTTGAATGCCTCTTTTTTAAACTTACCATCGGTAGTTGTTGAATAAATTGATGAATATTGGCCTCAGTAGCTGCTTCAATAATAGCTTCCATGGAAATGTTTTCTTGAGCATAGGCTATATTTTCTGCGATCGTCAAATTGAACAATATTGGCTCTTGGCTCACAAGACCAAAATAAGAGCGGAGCGAGTTAATATTGATATTTCTAATATCAACATTGTCGAGACGCTATATTGCATTTAGAAAATTAGTATTAGAATAGTTGCATCAAATACAGCATATGACTCACCACTTGACCATGTGATACGTCATAAAATCTTTGTAAGAGCTGAATAATTGTTGACTTGCCACAACCAGATTCACCTAAATAGCAATAAAATATATTTAATTGAAAGACATAATCAAATAATAAATGCATACCAACAAGTGCTAAATTTTGACCTGAATAAGAAATCAATCAATAATTCAAAGGTATTCAATCACAAATTTTACTTACCAGATTTTATTGATAAACAAAACTTTTTCAAAATAATTGTTTGCGGCCGCGATGGATAGAAAAAATCGACACGGTCGAATTCGATGTCACCACAAACGTCAGTCTATATATATCATGTTTGTTAAATATTACTGAGTTTCAGGTTAGAAAAGATCTATATGGTTATGTAATTTTTTGAATAGTAAGAGGGTTTAAACAATAGATGACCAAGTATGTCACACTTTACATTCAGATATATGCATCATGAGTGCACTATTAATCAAAATCTTTTAATCTTATGTGCACTTACTAGTTTTTGACCTTCTGTTGAACTGCTGTCAATGGCTGATATACGATCAAATAAATCAAAGAAATTTTGAGCAGCTGATAGTGACGAACCCATATAATCAATTCTAAACAATGCTCATTGAGAAGTGAAAAGAAAATATTGGCTACTTACAGACCCGCAATATTACGAATCGCTAGCATGGCAAAATTACTGAAAGCGAAGACTCTAAAACAACCGTAAGTATCATAATAAGTTTTTATGAGTTGCAGGATCATTATTTATTACATGATTATGCCATCTGCTGTCATTTTACCATTTTCAATTAAGACGAGCGCACGCCAATAAATAGCTGTTATAATAGCTGGAACTGGTCCCCAAATGCAAGTATATGAAAATGCTAAGAGTGCTGAGTAATTTTGAGTAAGTCTAAAAAATATTATTGCGGAAAATAAAGGTCAAAGAAACTTAAGAAATCACCTAGATGATTCGCACATCAGCTTGGCAAATTGTTGTAACATTGTTTTCTCAATTGCCAATTGTTTTACTGTACGCATATTGTAAATGGCTTCGCCAAAGAGCTATTAGAAAGAAAGAGATATCAAAATTGATCATATATGCTCTGTCATATATGCAGCTAGTAAAGCACCCACCCTTGATAGAGTTGATTAGTATTTAGCAGTTGATTATCAAGAATTCAGTCTTACCAAACTTGCCCGTGCTGAGAATAGTTCACACTTTTTAACCATTTGTGCTTGAGTAATGGTGAAAACGTATGCAAAAAAAATGCTAAAGGCAAGAAGTGCAAAAACAATCAACGTTATCTGCCAATTGAAATATGCGCCAATTATCAAAGCGAAAGTCGTCATGGTGATCATTTCACAGATGACGCCTAATCGTATTCCAGTCATTTGTTGAACTGCCAATGCATCCGATGAGAGACGGGCGCAAATAGTGCTGGAACTATTCTCTTCTCGATCAAAATAAGCAATTTCTTGGCGGAGAAAAGACGCAAATGCCTTAACACGAATACGATAGGTCAAAGTCGAACCGGCTAAACCAAAGCTCCAGAACTATTTAAGTGCATAGGACAATTCAAGATAAATTTCATTTTACTTATTCTTACTTGGAAAACACGGATAAATATTGTCCCAATACCTAGCATTGTAGTAATGAAGCCGTAAATGAACATTTGACGTATTTGAATAGAATAGGAGCAGTTGTTGAATGCCTAAGCGAATCGGATGTATCATAATTAACAGGTATCGCAAAAGTTCTTGAGCAAATGTAAGACTGTTGTATTTAATCTGAAAGCGACAGAAAGTTGATTCATTTTTTGTTATATAGAGCGTGACATTTACTCTGAACGAACATGTCTCACAGAATTATGCTCATACACTAACAGCAAAACATATATCCGTTTTTGGAAATCGTATCAAGCGCAGACTGTGTACTTTTTCAACAATCAACAGATAGCATATATCAACAACGACATGTACTTGTTAACAAAAAATGACTTTGACATTGTGTAACTGTTCGACATTTTTTAGATAAAACAATTCCGCATGAACGAATTTTGTTCTCCGGCAATTCAATTTTTTGAAAGAGTGCCGGCACAGTTTACGAAATCTTCTGCAAAAATGATTTTTATAGATTGAGATATTTAATTTCATTAGGACAAAGGGCTTAACGAGTTTTTTGGAAATATTCAAATAGTTTAGGAAAAATTTTGTCTTCTGTACTCGATTTCGTATTAATTCTGAATGGAGAATATATAACGTGATAAGGCTCTAAACAATTGATATAAACGCTTCCAGTAGAGAACGATAATTAGTTTTTTTCAACCGACTGCAAACGACAAAAATAAAATTCAGCAATGATTCGTATCTGGGGTAAAAACTTATATAATTTTGTACATAACATATAAAAATCACTCTACAATTTTGCATCTAAGACAAGATGTTAAGCTCTCTTTAAAGAAGTCGAACAGATATTGCAAAAATTTAGAGCATGGTTTCTAGAGATTTTGAAAAACCGAATTGATTTTGCTACTAGTATATGAGCAAAAGTCTGTTAGACATGTGCTTTCAGAGTTGACATCACGCTCTATCTAACAAAGAAATACAAATCCACTTTCTGTCACTTTCAGGATGATTACAACAGTTTGAAATTTGTCCAAGAACTTTTGTAACACCGGTTGTTTTACAAAATGTATTACAATAAAACAAAATGAATTACCATGACTAGCTTTCCAAGTAAAATGGCAATGGCTGGCATAGTCGTCCCAGCAAAAATACATGCTATACAACCAATAAGAATATTAATCCATTCAGAACGGTTCATAGACAACAATCTGTAAAAGATGGCTTTTTCACTTGTTGGTGTTTTTGTCTTCTGAAAAAATTAAGACACTTAAAACAGTGCTTCAAAATCACTATATTCCAATGCGTACTTGAGTTTCAGAAGTATTTTCATTATCGCTAAGAAGACAAGAACGTTCACCTATATCATTACACACTTTTATCAATCGTAAGAGCTATATCATCAAGAGTAGCTACAGACTTGATTTTCTTTCTTTTTCGATTTCTTCTCTGCTTATTTCTATTTCATTGTCATCATCTGGTTCTTGTGTCATCTGGCATTTGATCATGTCTCGATATCGACCTCCTTCTTTGTCCAGTAATTGAGCGTGTGTACCTTGCTCAATCACACATCCGTTATCTAGTACATAAATCTTATGAGCATTTTGAATTGTTTTCAAACGATGAGCAATGACAATAGTAGTACGACCTATCACGATATCAGGATAATATAAAACAGAATATAAAACGCTTCAACCTTGACTTGCCCGATTGAGTGCTGCTTGAACAATTTTTTCACTGACATTATCAAGTGCACTTGTTGCTTCATCTAACAACAAGATAGAAGGTTGTTTTATAAGAGCACGAGCCAATGCTACTCGCTGCTTTTCACCACCGCTTAATTGAATACCACGTTCTCCAACTAGTGTCTCATATTTCTATAAAAAAAAAGATACACAATGAGAAAAATATAGAAATATAATTGTTCGTTAGAAACATTAGGTAGTTGCATGATAAAATTGTGCGCATTAGCTTGCTTTGCTGCTTCTTCAACTTCTGCTGTTGTTGCATTTTCCTTTCCATATCGAATATTCTCGTAGATACTTGTTGCAAACAAAATCTACTCAAATTATAACTTTGAAAGAGATCAGGGAAGAAGACAACTTACAGGCTCTTGACTGACGATTCCGATGTGTTGCCGAAGTTTCTTGAGATTGTAATCGTAAATGGACCGATCTTTGATCATGATACTACCCGATGAAGCTTCATAAAATCGAAGTAAGAGTGATATGCATGTACTCTTTCCTGATAATTTTCCGACACAAGAAAATTTTTGATATAGATGTTCTTTATATGTAACCTACCAGAACCACTTGAGCCTACTAAAGCAGTTATTTCACCAGCATGAGCTACTAATGATAGGTTCTTTAAAATTGGTACATCTTGTCGAACTGGATATGTAAAATTCACCTCATTAAATTTAATGTCACCGTTGATATCAATATCTTCTTCCTCTGATCCCTTAGCATCCCATATGTCATCTTCATTGATATTTGCTTCGGATTTCTAAATTATGTGAAGTTAGCGAGAATCCATTTAAGAATTAAAATGGCTCTACATTCATTTTTACCTCATCGATGATGTGAAATGTTTCAATTGCTGCAGCTCGTGCTTCCGAAAGTGTCTGTAAAAGTGGTACTATGAAGCAAACATAAGTGACATTTTCTCCAAAGCTGATCACTATCTATTTGCAATCGGCAGCATAATATAGTTGATTTATTATAAATACAATAGTAAATAACTTACCACAATGACGTCACTTACAGAGATGTTGTGATGCCCTACATGATGCATAAGTAATAGACCACAAAGAAAACCACCTGCATAGATTATATATATTGTAAAATAGTTCCAACCCAGATAAAGACCGAACACCACACTTTTTCGTACGCTACTCAACTGAGTCGCTGCCAACTCTTTTTCATATCTGTAAACAATAGGTATAATAATATTCATCAGATTATCTGAGGTAAGTTGATGCTATAAATATTCATTGACCTTTTTTTTTCAAACTCGCTACCATTGAATGAAAACACTGTACAAATAGAGCTGAACACTTCTTGAGCAACTTCTCCTGCTCTCGAATACGTATTCAATTCGTTCTCTGTTTCGCGAATAATTAACTATTAGAAATCATAGAAACTAATGTGACACAAAATGCAAATGCATACTTTACAAAAAAGATAAGAACCACCAAAGATCAATGGTAAAAAGAACAACAAGATTAAAGTTAATCTCCAATTAATAAAGAGAGTTACGATAATATTGAATACAGCAGTTAGATGCACATCAAGTACTACCGCAAAATTGGAGTTGATGCCTCTTCCGATTGTATCAACGTGTCTATGAAAAAAAGCTGATGTATAGATGCATCGTTAATACATGCAAGTATATACTCGGACAGTTTTGTGTACAGTTGTCCTATCGCACGTGTATCAAAATGTGTAATGGTCTAAAAAAGCAAAGTTGAAAATTAAAAAAAACAGGCGCTACCTCTAAGCTATTGTTTCTATCATTTTTCTCTCGAACTAAATTTAGCGTGCAAATTTTAATAATCGGTTTGATCTATACTAACCAATAAAAAGTTTACTGATTGTTCTACCACAAATGCGTCATGCTAAATACTCGACAGGACTCTTCTGGGAAAAATTGTTTTTAGCTGGCTATTCTCAATTTTCATTGACTATTTTCCTTATTGAACCAAAATAACAGCTATAGCACAATGTATTGAACTCGCATCTATTTAGTTTTACTTTTACTAGCAATGCGCTCCATACATATTGAGAAATATCATTTACACAGCTTTTTAATTTAATTAAAAACTTGGAAAACTCTAAACTTCCAAAATATATGCGACTTTGGATTATACGCAATTTTAATCAGGAAAAAAATGAAGGATACGTTATTCGCTCAATATATTGCCACTCTGCTTTTCTTCAATTTTGGACATTCATAAGAACACATATAAGTGGCTGTTCAGTATCAAAAAGACAAGTCATGAGCATCTATAACATAAAAATTGAAAGGGCCATATTCTAATTTAATTAATTTGATTAAATTTTATTGAAGATACTGTTAAATGTCTTTATTTTTAAAGTAAGAAGCTCAGCAACCGACTTGAAGAGTATTACAGTGTGGGTGTGTGACTGAAAATGTCGGCGCATGGCTGGATGTGGAATGTTCATGGGCATATGTTGAAAAGCAAAGGTCAACATCCACCGACACCCGTTATGATCGAAGGTCTTTTCCAAGAGACATTGCCTTCATCATGTCATAGTGCATCAATTGATCGATGAAAACATTATGAGATAGTTTCATCCGTCGTCGAATGAGATGTTCCTGGAATAGGAAATTCGGCTTCTAAGGCTTAAAGAGTGAAGTTAATGCTGAGTCTATTATGTTTAGAAAAAAAATATTTAAAGCTTTCGATAGTTTACAAAGTGTCTAAGAAAACTCAGAAACCTTCGAATGATACACACAGCTATCAACTGATCCGTGTAAGACATTAAAAAAAACTTCAAATAGTTGATAAAGTAGCGAGTAGCTTAACACAGGCAATGTGAAACAGAAACCGAAACAAGTCAGAAAACATTCGACTCAACTCGACATGAGTCAAGTGGTTGAGTCTCGATTTAAACAGCGAGTTTTCAATATCATATTTTATTTGATAAAAATAATAAGTGACAAAATCAACAAACATCATCAGAATGAGTCAAGAGAATAAACTTTAAGTTAGATTAATCGCTTGTTGTTCTCAATGGAACACAAGAAAATCAAATTACTGACAGGTGAAATCTCCAGATTTGAGTGTCTCTGAGTTACAATCTGTCCAACTGCACTGACTTGATGTTCAATCGATCGACGCACTCGAAAAAATAATGATTAAAATTTGTAACAGAAAATGTGTGATGATTGAAAAGGCATTGTGCCGAAAAGAGTAAGTGCTATTCTGTCAGACGGTGTGTGTATTGATTACCTATATAAACTTCTGATCGATTCCTCATGATCTAATTAATCTCTAAATAAATAATGATACATTGAATACAATAATAGTCAATGTAAGCTCTTCATTTTAGTCTACTGAATACATCAGTCCATAAAATTCTATCTATTCTATTACTTTCTTCGACTGATAGATTTCGATGAACAGACATTGCATTAAAAGAAGTCACGAAATAATAATGACGTCTAATACCAAGAAGAAAGTCAAAAAGTTACTGAAAATTTTCGAAAACATCGAGTTCCTTCACTCAACTTCGACTCGACTCGACTTGACTTGTTTTCGGTCTTTGATGCGAAATATTTAGAATTTTTACGGAACTTTTGACGGTGTTGGAAGAAAAACTAGAACCTTTGTGTAGAAAATCAAACTATTTACTATGGACCAAAAATTCTGATCTCAGTATTTAAAATATTCTATCAGATAAGATGGTCTATTCAGAAATGAAAAACCAAATCTACCATGTTTTATAAATTTTTGAAGTGCGTCAAATGACATTTATTAAATCGTGCTTTCATAAGACTTTGAACGATTACAACCATTTTAATAATAAACGACTACACATTCACATCTAAGCATAATAATTTACTAAACATTATTGTATTTGGTATGAGTCAACAGTATTTTTAAAATATTTTTTCTCGTACACGATTTTGTAGAGTTTTTGATAGACAACAACCACATATATGTAGCATCATAGGTCATCCTATCTTGGATACGAGAAAATTGAAAATATCGGTATATAGCAAGGGGGAAAAGCAGATTCTAAAATTGGAAGATTTTAAAGGATTTTAGATGTCAAAATCTGCTTTTTTCTCTTGATGTGTAGCTATTTGTTAGTCAATTGATTCTAGCTCCTTTAAAGTGTTATGAAAACAGGATTTACTAAATACCGTTTAACGTGCCTCGAAAAGTTGTTCAATATGCAGCATTAAATTTTTCATTTTTGAATAGATCAAATTACCTAGTAGGGCCGTCTAAACGTTGGGATCAGGACTTTTGGCCAACCCTAACAAAGTTCAGTTCTGTCAAAATATTATAAAACCTTTAAATATTCTACAAAACCGACAATCGTTCATTTCATGGCGTAAGAAGTCACAAATCAACTTATTGAGCTCATCGGAGGTCTCATGCTAAATTCACGAAGCCTTATGAAATCAACTGACCTCGGAAAAGATCCAGAGGCTATCTATGGGACAATTTTCATTTCACTGAACCTAAATTAGTTGGCTACTGAAATACAAGTGTTTTGAACTTGAGTAATAAACTGAATTTTTAGAGTGAGAGCTGTATTCAGCGTATAAAAAAGAAATTTTCGAATTGACTGCAATGTAAAATATCGCTACAAGAAAAGATAACAAAATCGAAAAACAGTAACTTATTTTACCATATCATTCATTTCTGATTTTTTCACATACCCGCTGGATAAGTGATTGAAAGACGCACACTCTAATACGACAAACTTGTCTGTTAGCAGACACTGTGAAGGTGTAATATTCAACAAATGTGATTATGAGTTGAGTAAAAGAAATTACTAAGAATTAAAAATGAATAAAAACATTTCCTAATCGATCGATACATTACGTATTTTCTATTTACCTAGAAGCCAATGAATGAATTTGGTCGCTTGAATTCGAGCTTCAGATAGAGATGAAAGCGATGATGCAGATGTTGTAAAGCTATAATTTTTGCATAACCTAAAACAAACGAAAAACACATAAGTAAATATAAGCCAGAGAAAATAAGCAGTCATCAACCTTTGTAATTGACTATAGTCCGATACACTTAGATTGATATTGAATGGGCAATCATTGCTACTTGTTCTAGTGATCGACAAATTTCGTTGTACTTCTGGACATTTTTCAGAAAATAACATTTCAACAAATGTTCCTGTAAGTCTACCAAAAATAATGAAAACCACAACAAAGCTGACAGCTTGCAGTATGCTACAAATTAAACCAACACAAATTAAAAGAAGATCAATTCGATCAGCAAATCGAAACTATAGTGAAAGAAAATACATAGTTCAATGAATAAAATATTTTTGGAACAGACGTACTGGCTCTAAGAAGTTGATTGATTCTCCTTTGTGAACATCTTTTCGATTACCATCCAGGTTCTCATATTCATCATCAGTTTTCTTGCATTGAAAAAGCCGTTTTAATTTAGTTAGACTAAGATGAATCAAGCACATTTTACTATATTTAGACTACTTCACTTGTCCTATACTTACTTGCTAATAATTTTGCTCTTGATCTTTTGACTATCATGCTCAGAAGAGTAGATTTCAGGCTTCAAAAGCAACGGTTCAGTATCAATCATCTTTTGAAAATTCGATCTATTAACCGAAATACTAGCAGTGTAGCTTTTACTCACACTTAAAATCAAGTTAAGAATTATTATTTAGCCCTTAAAAATCAATGAAAACACTAACACCATCATTAAAAAAGGAGATTGTTAAGTGATGAAATCGCCTCCTGTAGAAATTAAGTTTATTATTATCTCTATACTCACATTCGATGTTATGAGTTGATTGATGTTCAAATTAGTTAGTCATACCTCATTCCAGCTACGCACGTCTGACTCAAAACATGATATTATCTATATCCTATCGGATCGCCGTATATAATACTTTGATCTAGAATTTTTCTTCTGTTTCAAATGTGTTTTAATTTGATTTATATATCAAATGAAACCTTTTGTCTTCCACTTTCCAATGATATAAAGATGTATGGTCAAATGTTGTTCTTTGAAGTTTCTTTTGGAGATGACATTGCACACGTGTATACAATTACAAAGGTACCCACAGTATGATTGCCCTCCTAAGTTGCTATGAAAGTAGCGGTACAATTTAGCTTATATATAATTTCATAGCTATTGTAAAGTTCTACAAAATAGTACTACTACATTCAACTTAATTTGTGTGCAAGCCTCTGAATTGAAACATGTAATATTTCAAATTGCCAAAAACTGTCTGTTTTGACCTTTGTTTGATGGATTTTCTCTTCAACTATCTTTCTTTTAGTGAAAACAAATGACTCAAATCACATACTATGCTAAATGTTTTATCGACTTTGATTTTCATCGAAAAAGTTTTGTCACGTTCCTCCTCAAAAATATGTGAAAAATTGCATTCGATCTTAACGATAGTCTGATCATGAAAAGCGACTTAAGAGAGGGTCCATGAGAGCACTTAGTAACTTTATCGGGAGCCGGCCGCCGACAAAATTTTGATTTTCGATTTAGGTATCTCAAATGAAAGGTCTAGTCAAATCATAGATAAATCCAAAATATTAGCTCTTTCTGACTTCCCTATGAAAAATGGCATAGTATACAAGTGATATACCCTCCGAAACCTGGAAAAAAGGCAGTTTTTTAGGGTGACCTGAGTATTTTACACTTTTCTGTGCATCTGCTCGTTCATTCGAGTTCCGGCACGTCTCAAAAGATGCAGAAATGTTTTTTCTACAAACGTTGATAATTGCTTATGTTCTACAATACCATTCATCAAGTGATAATTCCAATATACGAGCAAAAAGGACTATTAGCTAAAATCACGATTTTCTAGTATTTTGACTCTAGCCACGCTGGATCATGCCATCCCAACATGATTTATATATTTTCTGAAAGCCCTTAAAATTCTGCATCGTATAGGGTATTACTTTAAAAGACTAAAACACCA